ATATATATATATATATATATATATACACATAAATTTCCTTTCTCATAGTACTGTCATGACTATATATTACTTCCATTTTACCAAAGACACTGAGGCTTATAAAGTATATTTAGAAAATGTTTGAGTACTTGAATTCACTAGTGTAAGGCTGTATTTTACAAAATTAAGTATTATGTCATGCAAGTTTTTTAAGATGGGTTAATTATAGTTTCCTTTCACTGATCCTTTACTATGGGGTTTAAAATGTGCTTGGTCACTAAAAATCAAATGGCACTAAGGCCTCAGCTACTTAACCCTTAAGACATTGCCATCTACAGAATGAAACTATAACCAAAATTTCTAAAATAGTAACTTATGCTAATAGATTTTGAAATTCTACAACTACTCCTTTAGCTATATCTTTCCAAGGTATAACAATTCTAAGTCTCTTTGTAGATTCTAAGTATATCTCTTCATCACATATTATATAGTGCTGGAATGAATTTTCATGGGCTACCTTTATACTCTAATTTTTTAGTTTAAAAAGAAGTAAGACCATTGCCGTAAGCACTCTACTGTAACCTACTATACTCTGCTATACTCTAGCATAAGTTATGATTAATTTTGCTATAAGGTATGGTCTTGAACATATGCCTTTCCACTAAGGAAGTCCCATGAATCACCTTTCAGGGTCTTAGACTGACCATGTCTTAAAATTTATACTGATATACCAACCACATTAGAAATTCATTATCTGAGTGGGTTTCTATGAAATCTTTGACAAGTGATCAGTTACAGCTTGAGGGCAATTCAACCATGGAAAGGAAAACCAAATCTTTGATTAAGAAATTCTTTTTATTTCTTACTAGATAAATTCCATGTAGTAATAACTACGGCCAGCCATTTTAAAATCCTCATTTTGTAATTTCTAAAATGTCCTTAGTATGCTCAAAAAATATGCTAACCAAATTGAATAAAGAGTGGCTAATAACTTTTCTTCCTCTGCTACCTTTAATTATATCCATCTAGAATCTTACTGTAGAATTATATCCATCTAGAATGTTACTGTAGAATCCTTAAAAGTTAATAACTAAGAACTCAACTTCATTGAAACAAGTCATATACTAGATGATGTTCTGCATTCACCCAGTTAATTTACACCATAAATTAATCTCTACTAGGAAGAGTAACACTGGACCAAGAAACTTACGACAGAAAAGCTCCACAAGTGGTTCCAGAGAAAATTAGTATCTTATTTCACCCTGACCCCTTAACAACTTCAGGAAATTTAGAAGCATAGTTAATTTGTTTTTATTTTGTTTTGAGGCTGAATCTTCAGATTACCCTAGAAAGAAAAGCAGAGAGGGGTTAAGTAGGAGGGAAGGAGGGGGGAAAGGGGAAAACAAGGAAGGAAGAGTTGAAAGAGGGAGGGAAGGAGGAGGAAAAAGAGCAAGGAAGTTCATTTGGAAGTGTTATATCACCTGAACATAATAAATGATGGTTTACCAAAATATAGCTCTATTGAATAAATGACAGATGGGTTCTATAATTCAGTGTTACAGCTTCGAATAATTGAACTGTGTGAATGCTGACTACAGGGATTGTTTTTGAAGAGTGAAATGAAAGGGAACAGAATTTGGAAGAGAGTTGGCTTTTAAAATTTAGAGATTTTGAGAGTTGAAAATGGTTCGTTCACTGATTGGAAAGGATTTCAATTTAAAGAGATAATTAATTGTGTCTTCATTAAAGAATTTTGCTTGGTTTTAAAACTTTCATTAAAAAATATCTTTGACATTTGTAGCAAAAGTAAATTGGGTTCTACATATACTTGCTAATTTTTAGCTGATAAAAAAAATATATGTATCAGCAGTTCATTTTATTTCAATTAGGTTGCTCATAAAAATCATTCCCCATCTTTTTATTTCAATGTGGCTAACTATAGCCTGTTGCTTAAATTTTTTAATTATGTTAAAATGACTCTCTGTGATTTTCTTAAATGTATTGCTACCTGCAAGAAATTGTTTTGTGGAATAAGGAATTATTTACTAAGTCATTCAGCAGTTAAGAATAATTTTGTTGTATCTTGTAGTAAGTGCCAGGTTCATGTACAAACAATATTACTGGATGAGTTAACACTCAAAAGTGAATAATGATTCATAAGTCATCATCATGTCTTTATCAATTACAATCATCTGTATATTTGGATTGTGTCTTCTCAATATATGAGGTCACTACTGCCTTTTTAAGTGAAATGATCCTCAGTTTCATAAATGAATTGTATAATCTAGATTTTTCTATACTGAGAACATCTTAAAACAAAATTTTTATAAAATATCCAGTCAAACATGAACAAAGATATTTGTATTATATATTGACAGGATGGCTGAATTTTAAAAATTATTTGTTAATATTAGGTGATTTTTTGTATATTCTACAAAAATCTCAGGAAGTCCTATTTCATATTAACTATGATTGAATTCAGAATAGTGTCCTTTAGTTACTGGTGTCCAATTCCAATATTCATGTTGTAGATAGTTTCTGGATGCCAAGCCCACTCTTGTTCACCATATGTAATTTGTGATTGTGGTTTTCTCTCTGAATTATTACTAATAATTTGCTGATTTTTCAAAACAGGTAATGGATTAGGAATTAGAATTGTGGGTGGTAAAGAAATCCCTGGACATAGTGGAGAAATTGGAGCCTATATTGCCAAGATCCTTCCTGGGGGAAGTGCAGAACAGACAGGGAAACTTACGGAAGGTAAGAATAAGGATTTCAAAGTAAATTAAAATGATTATATGCACATTAAATGTATTTTAATTTAACATGTGTTTTCTCTTACTTTGCTATGTAGGTAAGTAAACCTTTCTTATGGTTAATTATGAAATTTTGGTATAGTAATACAAAAGAAGATTGTCCACAACTATGTTCATTGTGTTTTCAATTGCATTGTCCTTTTGGCAGTAGGCTTGTGGCAATGTCTTGTTTAAGAAACATTAATTAGTCAGTATTGCTTACTGACTGGGGCAATGTTATTTTTGAAAAAACACATTGGTTATTAGGATTGATGTTTCATAAATACAAAGAAAAAATATATTGAAATCAGAACCATAAATATTATATGATTCAGTACATACAAAAGTCGGTACAGCACACTATGGGCAGCCCATGAACCAAATCTGTCTGCTTCCCTTTACTGTGAATAGTATTTTACTGGAACAGAGCCAGGATCATTAATTTACACATTGAACATGAGTGTTAACCCACTATAATAGCAGAACTTCATTTACAAGAGAGACTCAATGATCCACAAAGACTAACACAGACACCCTTTGTCCCTTTACAGATAAAAGTTTGTGAACTTTTGTGGTAGGTACTGTCTACTTTTAGATACTGTCCACCTCAACACATCATAAAAATTTTAAAATAAGGAACTTTACAGATGCATCTAATGGGCCATAAAATATGTCTTTTATCAGCTTCTTTCAGTAAAATGTTACAGCTTGATTCTCAAAATATGTAATGATAATTTTTTCACTTCTTAATTAGATGATGTCATGCACATTTTCCAAACTGTAACATGGTTTGCAAGTTTTCACTGTTATTGCTTATAGTGAAAATTTTTATCATAAAGTAGCCTCAATCTATCTTTTTATTTTATTCTAAATAAAATACTTATTTGGGAAGTGTTTTCTGTAATTTCACAGTTTATTAAAACGTAGCCTGTTGCTTAAATTTTTTAATTATGTTAAAATGACTCTCTGTGATTTTCTTAAATGTATTGCTACCTGCCAGAAAGTCCCTGGATATTTTGATAGACTGTTAGAATGAACACAAACTAAAGACAGTTTTTATTCATTAGAGTATTTTTCTAGAGCCAGCTTGCATCAACTCTTCCCAGTTGCTTAGTCAGTGATATCACACTGATGGTTTGAATTGGCCATGGTGGGAGTATTTACAATGTGGAAATAGACAAATATAATAAATCATGTTTTTTTTGTTTTTTTATTTCCTTGTTGGTTTTCAGAATGCCAGTTTGCCGGGATATTACCAAAGATATAACTACAAGCATATTAATACAAATATCCTAATAGCATTCATAGTACTTATTAGGTGAACTAGCCAGATAGTTAGATGAAGGTAAAGACTGTATAAATCAGGATATCACAATTATGAGCAAAACTTTTGGTGTTGCAATCTTGTTAAGATACAGGAATTGAGACCATTTTTAAGTATGGGAGGGGAGAGACATGATCACTTTCATACAGCATACTCCGGAAGGAAATAAATATGTTACCTTTATTTTAAAATAAAAATTGCAACAATAACTATAACCAGTATAGTTTGGCAAAGACACTTGAATAATTTCAAGATAAAATTTCATACCTTTCTTTGTATTTACACCATGGAAACTGGCAAATGCTACTACTTAGAATGATCTGAAGAGCAATTTCAGTGATGCATACTGTGATGAAGTAATACTCTGCACTTGGTGGCATATGTGGCCATTTTTTTAATTAAGGTATCATTGATATACACTCTTATGAAGGTTTCACAAGAAAAACAATGTGTTTATTGCATTCACCCTTATTATCAAATCCTGCCCCATACCCCATTGCAGTCACTGTCCATCAGTATAGTAAGATGCCACAGAGTCCCTATTTGTCCTCTCTGAGCTACACTGTTTTCCCCATGACCCCACACACACCATGTGCACCAATCATGATGCCCCGCAATCTGCTTCTCTCTTCCTCCCCACCTGCTCTCCACCATCCCTCCCCTTTGGTAACCCCTAGTCCCTTCTTGGAGTCTCTGAGTCTGCTGCTCTTTTGTTCCTTCAGTTTTGCTTCATTGTTATACTCCACAAATGAGGGAAATCCTTTGGTACTTGTCTTTCTCTGCCTGATTTATTTCACTGAGCATAATACCCTCTAGCTCCATCCATGTTGTTGCAAATGGTAGAATTTGTTTCTTTCTTATGACTGAATAGTATTCCATTGTGTGTATGTACCACATCCTCTTTATCCATTCTTCTACTGATGGACACTTAGGTTGCTTCCACATCTTAGCTACTGTAAATAGTGCTGCAATAAACACAGGGTGCATAGGCCTTTTTGAATCTGAGAAGCTGTTTTCTTTGGGTAAATTCCAAGGAGTGGAATTCCCAGGTAAAATGGTATTTCTATTCTTAGTTTTTTGAGGAACCTCCATATTGCTTTCCACAATGGTTGAACTAGTTTACATTCCCTCCAGCAGTGTAGGAGGGTTCCCCTTTCTCCACATTCTTGCCAGCATTTGTTGTTCCTAGTCTTTTCTATGTTGGCCATCCTAACTTTTGTGAGGAGATACCTCACTGTGGTTTTAATTTGCATTTCCCTGATAATTAGCGATGTGGAGCATCTTTTCAAATGCCTGTTGGACATCTGAATTTCTTCTTTGGAGAAGTGTCTGTTCATCTCCTCTGCCCATTTTTTAAAAAGGTTATTTGCTTTTTAGGTGCTAAGGCATGTGAGTTCTTTATATATTTTGGATGTTAATCCCTTGTCAGATATGTCATTTGCAAATATATTCTCCCATACTGTAGGATGCCTTTTTGTTCTGTTGAAGGTGACCTTTGCTGTACAGAAGCTTTTTAGTTTGATGTAGTCCCATGTGTTCATTTTTGCTTTTGTTTCCCTTGCTCAAGGAGATGCATTCAGGAAGAAGTTGCTTATGTTTATATTCAGGAGATTTTTGCCTACATTGTCTTCTAAGAGTTCTTTGGTTTCATGACTTACATTCAGGTCTTTAATCCATTTTGAGTTTACTTTTGTGTATGCAGTTAGACAACAATCTAGTTTCATTCTCTTGCATGTAGCTGTCCAGTTTTGCCAACACCAGTTGTTGAAGAGGCTGTCATTTCCCCATTGTATATCCATGGCTCCTTAATCATATATTAATTGACCATATATGCTTGGATTTATATCTGGGCTCTCTAGTCTGTTCCATTGGTCTATGGGTCTGTTCTTGTGCCAGTACCAAATTATCTTGATTACTGTGGCTTTGTAGTAGAGCTTAAAGTCAGGGAGCTTAATCCCCCCTGCTTTATTCTTCTTTCCCAGGATTGCTTTGGCTATTCAGGTCTTTTGTGGTTCCATATGAATTTTAGAACTATTTGCTCCAGTTCATTGAAGAATACTGTAGGTATTTTGATAGGGATTGCATTGAATCTGTAGATTGCTTTAGGCAGTATGGCCACTTTGACAATATTAATTCTTCCTATCCATGAGCACAGAATGTGTTTCCATTATTAGTATCTTCTTTAATTTCTCTCATGAGTGTCTTATAGTTTTCAGAGTATAGGTCTTTCACTTCCTTCATTAGGTTTATTCCTAGGTATTTTATTCTTTTTGGTGCAATTGTGAATGGAATTGTTTTTCCTGATTTCTCTTTCTGCTAGTTTATCATTAGTATATAGGAATGCAACAGATTTCTGTGTATTAGCTTTGTATCCCACAACTTTGCTAAATTCAGGTATTAGATCTAGTAGTTTTTGAGTGGATTCTTTAGGGTTTCTATGTACAATATCATGTCATCTGTGAACAGTGACAGTTGAACTTCTTCCTTGCCAATCTGAATGCCTTTTATTTCTTTGTGTTGTCTGATTGCCATGACAAGGACCTCCAGAACTATGTTGAATAAGAGTGGGGAGAGTGGGCATCCTTGTCTTGTTCCTGATCTTAAAGGAAAAGCTTTCAGCTTCTCGCTGTAAGGTTGGTTTTGGGTGTGAGTTTCTCATATATGGCCTTTATGATGTTGAGGTCCTTGCCCTCTATATCCATTTTGTTGAGAGTTTTTATCATGAATGGATGTTGAATTCTGTCAAATGTTTTTTCAGCATCTGTGGAGATGATCATGTAGTTTTTGTCCTTTTTGTTGATGTGGTGGATGATGTTGATGGATTTTAGAATGTTGTACCATCCTTGCTTTTCTGTAATAAATCCTACTTGATCATGATGGATGACCTTTTTGATGTATTTTTGATATTGGTTTGGTAATATTTTGTTGAATATTTTTGCATCTATGTTCACCAGGAATATTGGTCTGTAATTTTCTTTTCTTGTGGTATCTTTGCCTGGTTTCAGTATGAGAGTGATGCTGGCATGTGTGGCCATTTTTAATTTCATAAATTCAGATTTAAATAAAAAATGATATAATGAAAACTAATTGAAGAGAGAAAAGTAAAATGAAACTAAAATTACACTTGTAATTTTATAAGCTCAAAGACTGCCATGAACATCCTCATTTTATCTTGTTTATTAGTTCTCCCAAAGACTTGCCTAGGTGCCAAGACAGGCCTCTCTGTGAGCATAGGTCCTTTGATAGGAATCCTATACTTGCATAATCCCTACCCAGAATTTCTGATTTCTGATTTCCAGTTTTGTTTTATTTACTCATACAACACAGGTCTTTAAACAGTTGGTGGTATTTCCATTATATTCATGATGCTGTTTTCACTGTCAATATTTAGATCTTGTTTTTATAGCATTCAATATTTTGAGAAGTTATTTTGACATATGATTAGTCATTTACTTTCTCCCATCCACAAGGTTATACCTGTGTTCTATACCACCAGACTAAAATGATAAAAATTCATTCCCTTCACATGCAAAGACAACTTATTTAAGGACTCAGTCCAGAAGAGTTATTTTACCAGTATATTTTCTGGAGAGAAAGGTGTATATGGTTTTGTCTGTAATTGTGTGTTTCATTCATACTTG